AAAGTGTCTCCTTTCAGACAGCATTTGCTGCCAGACTGCTTTGATCTTAATGCATATCAAAGGAGCCTAAATTACAACTTCCTAAATAAACTGCTTACATTTAACTATGCTCTCCCTTTAAAGTTTAATCAGGGTAGAACACAAAAGGAACAATGTTTCAGCCGCTAGCATCCCAGCTGGTTAGGGTATTCCACATACAGCTCATGTCTCCTTTATCAGTCTTTCGCCAGCTGTTGAACTCTAAAATATTATTTGATTCTTGATGATACTTATTTCCATGCCTTTTGCTGTATTTTTGATTAACAGGCTACAGCGATTCCAAGAAATAAAGAATATAAGATGCATTAAAGCATACTTTCAACCATGCGTACGTGTAAAAGCCCAAAGTGAGTTTCAAGACATGAGATACTTAATACAAAATGGGAAGCACTTTTCATTTGAACCCTTGTTATCCTATAAATCAAAAATTTTCAAGCACAGCAACAATTTAAACAGTCAAGTAAGGCAGAAAGAAAATTTCAGGATTCTGCTTATTGATATCATTAAATCCAACATACTTCTAAGCTTTAAAGCATGCACGGACATTGGGAACGGTTTAGGATGTTTCTGTAACAGATGAATGCACTTACAGCTACTTATTTAACCCATGGAGTTAGTGATTTTTCTAGCCAATGCAATAGGAAGTCATACATGGAAGACACACAAGGAAGACAGACAGGTGGCTTATATGTTAATAGAAAAGAATGTGACTAATGCAATTATTCTGGGCAATAAAGGTTCATAAATAAATCCCAGAAACTTTAGGAATGCATAAAGAAACAAAATAATTGGAAAGAGAAAAGAGGAAAGAGACTATTGGATTCTTTCATATAAACCACGGATATTATTTCCCACAGCTAGGGCATCTCTAAATCCCTGTTCACAAAGGTTTTGAGTGAACCTACTATCCTGTCAATATGCAGGACAGCAGCAGGAGGGGCAATGACAACACAAGGTCCAAACCTCACTGTGGTGTTCTACTGCAAAATACTCCTGAAAGACAGTTACCGTAACAAAGCAAATTCTGGTCAAGTCAAAATGTGTTTAAGAATACAGAGGGCTTCTACTCTTGTTTTGGGATTTAGAAAAACTAGACTGTAGAGCCCCATGTGGCTACACAGAAACAAAACAGATTTAGGTCTCTCTGGCTATGAGACTGAATCTGATGATGTCAAGAGGCAATCGTGATGAACAGTAATCTTAAGGTTTGTACTACTCTCCACTTTCTCCCTACCACCAAAAGGAGCAAATGCACTTTAATGTGAACACTGTTTACAGCAATTACTTAAATTCTACCAGAGCATGCATTAGCATTTTAAAAAGCATCTGTGTGATGAAGTGACTGATAAAGCATTTTGGAAAAGTGTTCTCCTTTGCTTTATCTGTAATAGACTACAATAAATAGCAACAGAAAATTGCTTTAAAAGGAACTATCAATTGGGATGAAACATATATCATGAGAGCAGAATGAAAAGATTGGAATAAATGACAGACAGGAGAGAAGGCATAGTAATTTCTCATTATTTTTGACTTAACCAAAGCACAAGAATCTCAAAGTCTTTGTTAGCACAACTGAAAATCCATGTGATGCAAAGGCATACTAGCCCACAAGAAATTAGAGTATTAATGGTATGTGACTGTTGCAACAGCTATCTCATGAGCCAGGAATAGATGTTTAATGGCTTAGTTTACATGTCTTTATTTCTAAAGAAGTATTGCAGTTATTGCTCTGTGCTGCAATGAGTTATATACAACAAGGCATATAACCCTTCGGCTTACTGGGAGCCATGCTAGCATTTCAGAGGGCAATAGCCAAAAGCGTGGTTCAGTTCCTGGAACCTTCCCTGTAGAAAGTTTACCAGCATCCATGAATCAGAAGCAGCTTCTAAGCATTTATATTCTGAAGCAAATCTGAACGACTCTCAACATTCTCTCGAAAGAAAGCTGGCTTCCTAAGACTGAAGTACTACCAGCCACAAAAGTGGCTATCAACAGCCATGCAAAGACATCCATGACATTAAGGAAGAACATAGCTGCGCCATAGCTCTGATTACTTGCAACACATGTGATGCCTCATCCTGAGAAGCAGTGCTGATTAAAAGCTTCCTCCTTTTTAAAATCCTCTGCATTTTATGGCCTTAACTTTCTTTCCAATAATTGTGTGGTGGGCAAATGACTACTGTCTCCAGCTCTGGGAATACCACACACAGAAAAGATCTGACTGACCAGAGGAGTTTACACTAACTTAAAACTTAACATGCAAGCCAATGAAGAAGAAGTAGATTGTGATAAGAAAGCATGTGAAATAGTCCCAGGTGAAACCCAAGCTGACAAAGAAACCTCAAACATGAATATCAGATTGCTCCTGAGAAAGACCTCACCGTGCTGGTGACTCATCTTTCTGCTCATGGAATACTGTCAAACCTCAGGATCCACAGGAACAGTGGAAGGGTGTGCATAACACCATGGAAAAGATGTAGAAAGTGGGAAGGCTCTTCATAACAATTCAAGCTGTAACGTTAATGAGGCTTTTCTGTATTAACTAGACAATTTAGACTATCAGACCATTGAGACATTAAGTGCACGAACAATTAAGTTCTTCACCCCATCTATATAATGCATTGCTTTTTGCGCATCAGAAGATTTGGAGTGTAGCAGCATGCCAGACTGCCTCAGGATTACAGGGTGCGTATTCTCACATGGGAAGGCCATGGGAAAAAGAGAGCACAGCAAGGAAAAGGGAACAAGCCACACCACGCCTAGAGAAAAAGGAACAGCATGAGGTCTAGTGTCATCCTGACACTTGGATCTACTCTCTTACTCTGACATAACATAATAGAAACTAGTACTGTTCTACAAGAAAGTGTCTCACAAAACATGATGCAAAACTCACCAGAACTGAAGTAGATGGAGAGGCTTGATTGATAGGAAGGAACCTCAAAATGCAGCTAAGCTGTCAGAACCCTTCAGCCCCTAAAGAAAAAGGCTCTGCACAGGTATTATTTTACAGGACTGTCTGCTTTATCAATATATATGGAATTTATTTTGCTTGCTTTTGCCATAGTCTTCAACACATTGCTTCTCCCTATTAGAATTTGGTGGCCAGCCACACATGGGATCAAAGGGAATTTTGCATTAAACTAGCTACTTCATTTTAAAAATATTAAACCAGTTACATCGTGCAATAAAGGAAAATATAAAGCAACAAAAACCATCCTGAAGTACACAGTTTTACAGAAAATAAACTGCAATCAGATTTCATGCAGCTACTGAAGAACAAAATTACAGGTAGGTATTATTCTGGACTTTCAGTCTTAAGATAGCAGAAAGTGCATATCCTGTGTTCAGGAACTGGTTTTGATGGGGTTACATCACTAACCTACAGAAGAGGTGACATCAGTTGCAGTGCAGACACTAACTGATCTCAGCACACAGACAACTTTTTAATCGCCTACTACAGGGTCCCTGAATCTTTTCAGCACTCAGCTTTTCAGTTCTGCACAGATATCTGCTAGCAGAAATGCTTTGTTTCCCACTTATGCTATCGGACCTCCCCACAAAACTCAACAAAACCTTGAGACCATTGCAGAGAAAACTCCAGCCGCAGCAGAGACATTTACATTGACGGTCTTCTTTCTGAAGACCATTTCATGTACGTAATCCTCTACAACAGGTAACGCTTCAACATTCAGTCATATCCTATGACAGTAGCCCCCGCCAAACCTCTTTAAAAAACCTAATTGCAGTAGTTTTAGGGATAAGATAGCCCCTTCTACCACAATTCTCTGAAGGTATAATGTATTCCCTGTATATCCTTGTAGCAGTATTGTATACCATTAACACTTTTCCACAAGGTACACAACAGATAGCTATGCTCACAATGAAAGGATCCCATGCATCTTTTGATGTGGAAGGACATCCAAATGTGAACAAATGTTACCAAATGGCAGATGGATACTGGCAGAACTCTTGCTAATAAAGCTATATAGCATTGGCATAGCCCACCTTTCCATTTGAAATGGCAACAATGAAGTCACATCACTCTGCTGGTATTCTGAATCCCTTTCCACCCTTGTCTTCAGTTCTACCTGCTCACTCTCACATGGGTATCATAACTGATTGATCATATAAAACCCTGAATGACTACATAAAATCACCCTGAAATACTGAAAGACTGGAGAGCCATTTTCTTTCCAGAAAAAGACTAGAGATGTAGTAAAACTGGTTTTTCAGTTTTACTATATATCACTTAAATAAATGTAGAATCTTTTCCTAAAAATGTAAAAACTTAAAGAGGATTCAAATGCCTTCCAAATATAATGAAACTACATTCTCATTTTCCACATGGGTTTTGTTTGTTCAAAAAATATAATTTTTGGAAGTAATCTTTCTGCTATAAACACTGAAAGATAAGAACTGCTTACTGCTGTTGAGCCAGAAAAAGCATATAAACCAGTACATCTGTCAGATTCAAATCACTGCACAAATAAACAGAATCATTAACAATTCTAAATACTATTCTCTTACTAAATGCATCTTCTATACATATGAACTATCAAGTCAAAACAGTAATTTTAAAAACTCACAGCCCATTCTACCTATAGAAAGAATTCCTTCCTGTAGCTCTGTTTTCCTAACTTGAAGAATAACTATTACCTATGATTGCTGAAACTGTGCCCAGAGGGTCAGAAAGTTCTTTTATATGCTACCTTTATGACACCCTTTTCACTCCTCGGCAACAAGTCATTAAGCTCCGTAACTGTTTCTGCTCTTGTTCTCCTGAAGTTCTTACCAGACATTTTGGGTTAACACTACAGCAGGAGGCCTCTCTGCAAGTTCTTTCGACATCAACAGTTATAAGGTCTATATGAATGCACACAGTTACTAAGACTATTCAGTGCAACATGCATGAAAGAAAGTATTTCTCATCTGGAACCTGCCAACTAAATAGGGATACTCACCCTGCTGCAACTGCAGGAGGGATGACCAGTATGAGTTTAAGTTGTGCTTCATGTAGAGCTTCAGAAAGGTGAACAAGCAAGTGAATCAACTCCCTGAAATATAAATATATTGTTAGAGGGAAAGGCAGTAAAACTGGTGCAAACTTATATATTGGTAAGTTTAAAAGTAACAGTGGAAATAATTGAAAAGTTGCAGCTGGCAAGAGAGCCAAACACAGTTTGTAGTGAATGACCATAGCAGAAAAAAAAAATTAGGAAGATTGGTCAGAGGTTACCCTCTTCCAGGACTAAGAACACTGAACTGCTGGAGACAATCTCAGCTTTATTGGAACTGATGATCACCTTGAGGCTAAAATGTTTCCTGGTTTTATTTTAACCTAACTATGCACTGTTAGCACATAAACACAGCCTATCTTATCACATGCAGGTCACATCTGAATGTCATGTTCAGTAAAAAGAATTAGATCAATACAAGAACCAAGCACTGTTCTGAAACAAGCTGCTGTTGAATACATTCAAGTTGTCACTGTATTACTACACGAGGTCTGAGAATTTGTAAAGATGCTTTCACAGCAAGACATGCAATCTTCAAGGGATATTTCTACTGCTGGTTTTTTTTTTTTCCTCTGTATAAATAATCCTTTTGTTTCTCAATACATTACCATATAGCTAACAAATAAATGTTTGACAATGTCATATTTGGAATGATCACCTTCCATATGCCTATTTTAAAGACTTTCATATCCATATTCTAAACATTTCAATAGGAAAACAAATGCAAAATTCTTATGTAAACTTGTACTGGATCTGTCTGAGTTCATTTTCCCCACAGCAGCCCTCACAGTGCTGTGCTTTGCACTGGTAGCTGGAAAGGTGTTGATAGCACACCAGGGTTTTGGCTACTGCTGAGCAGTGCTCCACAGCATCCAGGCTCTCTCTCTCCAACATTCCCCCTTCACCAGTAGGTTGGGTTGGGCAAGATCTTGGGAGGGGACAGAGCCAGGACAGCTGACCACAGGGATATTTCATACCAAATCATATCTGCTCAGCAATAAAAGCTAAGAGAAAGGTGAGGGGTGCAGGCATTCATTATGACAACATTTGTCGTCTGGAGCAACCGGAAGCCCTTGTATTGTGTACTGAAGCCCTACTTCCCCGCAAGTAGCAAGACATCACTTGCTAATGGGAAGTAGAGAATAAATCTTTTGTTTTCCTTTGCTTCTGCACACAGCCTTTACTTTTGCTTTTTTAAATTGCCTTTATCTTGACCCATGCTGGTTTACATCTTATTCTCTCCCCTCCCCATGTTACTGAGGAGGGGAGTGATACAGCAGCTTCATGGGCACCTGGCATCCAACCAAGGTCAACTCACCACAAAACTGGTTTTAGTCTTCCTGATTTGAAGGATTTAATAGAAAAACCTTCAGAGCCAGACTAGAGAAACCAAGTTTAATGGCTACTATTACCTTAAGAGGGGTCCAATATTACCTTCAGTTTGAACTATATGGCCCTTCTGTGTGCCTTCCTTAAGCCATTTGACTTTTCAGAACAAAATCAACTGTCATATTTACCCTTTGCGGTGGATCCACAAAGGCAATCAGACAGGTATTAGCACAGAGTTCTAGATCTGTTCAGAATTATGCCTGCACCTGAACCGAGTAGAAAGCAACTTTATGACCCATTCCAGTAAGGTAAAAGTGCTAAAGCAGGTATGGCAGAATATACATAATCCAAGTTAAACTCCACTTCAACTAGATTGCACATGAACCTTCAGAAACATCTTTTGGTAGTCATGCCTTTCAAGGCAGTTTCATCCTAGAGATTTTCTTCTGAAATCATTATTTTCCAATACAATTATCCATCACAGTAATGATGCTTGACTTGCACAATGTAGACACTATCCAAAGGTAGCCAAGTATTTTCGTTTTCCCTGTAACAGTTTGATGGCTGATGAAAACTTCCTAAGAACACTACAAAAGCCATTACTCTCAAAATCCTGTCAAACAAACAAAGCAAGTTTTATCACTTTCCCAATATCATCACTACTTTGTGCTTACAAATTGAGAGCTGGCTGTGCTGAACAGCTCCTGACGAACTGTCACACTGCCACCTATATTTCTCTTCTGGGGGAGACATGAGACTACAGGAATCAGCATTTGGTCTGTCTGTAGCCATTCCTCTGGCACTGGATTATTCTACACTGTTCATCAGGAGGGATCCCTCTGCTCTGCCTGGCTGCCTTTGTTAGGTGTAGGATCTCTCTACCATGTGCAAAACACTTGCTGACTTTAAATGCAATTATTTAGAATGTGAGGAGATAGAAGGAGGGGCAGAATAGGACAAAAGAACCTAACATAGGTGAAGAGCAAGGTAATGACTTTTTCATTTAGAAACAAGGCTAATACCCTTGTTCCCACTCTGCATCTCCACGTATCTGCCTCAGCTCCTAAAATTTTGTTGTCCAGACAGCAATGCTTTGAAACATAAAAAGAAAAGCAGTTGGGATTATTCTGAAGCAGCTTCAGAGGGAAAAAAAAATTTCCAGTGAATATTAAATTCAAGGTTTCCCCCTTCTTCATCAATGACACCTACCAACAGTTAGCTAGCAGAGGTAAAAATGTATCCCTGAAAGCAGTGACACACCCACAAAACCAGTGACTGCACAAAAGCAGTTGTATTTTAAACCTAGAAAGGCATATAGCATAAGACCACAACCTACAACTGTAAACTAAAGACAGGGATTTGTGGCCTGATAAGGAACAGGAGTGCAGTTTGGATTGCTAGTTTTACTTTGTAACTAGCAGTCAGGACTCTAAAACCAGACTCCATCAAAACAGCCACTTCCTCTCACCAAATCCAAGCAGGTTGGATATTAGCTGGTTATTAATAGGATATATGGATATTAGCTCTGGCCAAAAAATAATTGGCTTCAACTTGGAGGAGTTGAGGAAGAAAAGGGGTAGCTGGACAACTGCAGATTCTGGCTCAAGCAACCCTCAACTAACCTCTCAAGCCAGGTCTCTGGGCCCCGAAAACTTTCAATCAAACCAGACAGGATTAATGGTTAAAAGAGTTAATTTAGGTTCACTTCTACTTGTCAGCCAAGACAGATTATGTAAATCCAACACGCACTCTTCCCCTCTCCCCCAAACAGCAATAGCAGAATGCTCATTTATTGTATGCTATAAATTAAATCTTTACTATGTCCCAGCAGTGCTTTCCAGTATTTTAAACAAAATATTCTCCCATATTACCACTGGTAATTTTGAAAGAAAAGATACTGACATTTTAAACATGATAATGAGGTGCAGGAAAGTAGGAATAGAATCAGCCTTACTGAAAAGGCTTCATTAAATATTTACCAGAGACTTCACCATTGTCAAATTTAAATTCAGAGTAGCTACTAAAACATTGGCAGCTTTAAGACTCTATCTTGAGCTAATTAAGGTCTAGTTCATTCCTACTGTTTCAGGCCTTCTATGATCACTACCATTTGGTAGGTCAATTTTCCAAGCGTTCATGATTTCAAAATACCTTGTCCCCTATGAAGTATGCAGACATCCAAATTTTCATCACCTAAAGTTTAAGGGAAGCTTATTTTTGCAGAACTCCCTTTTTTCCAGCACAGCTGGTCTATTGTGTTTCAGACACCTTGTAGTACAGTTTACTTCAGTGCACAAGAGTGGGCTGTAGGTGTATTTGAAAAGCCTTGCAAAAGACACATAAGGCTGTCACATCCTTCCCTTCAGTTATGTGACCCTTCAGAACTCTGCAACTTTCCAACTTCGGCCAATTTTCTGCACAAGTTGGTAGTCAGTACTCCCTAAAATTTATGCCTTGTCAAGAAAATTGGACAGAATAAAGCTGTCTATTTCAAGAAGAAATTGCCCTTTCATGCCATTTCATTGCCTAGTTAATACCAAGGAAGTGGAGTGAATTATGGCAAATCTTTGATTAATAGATTAATTTTTCAGGGACTAACATGAAGGATAGAACTGCTAGCAGATCTTTTTGCTCCTATACTCCTACCAACATTAATAAGATGTCTGAAGGTCATCTTCTGCATGATACCAAGTGCCTCCAGCACGTGGTGACAAAAAAAAATATCACATTTTTCAGATTCATTCTGTGTGGTGGCAGTGCCATCTGTCAGCTAATGCCAGACTCATCAGAATAATGTGTGCACTTTTATGTATCCTGTGAGATTCTGATGGGTACGTTCATGCCTTTTTCACAACATGACCCAGGTCTCTGGAGAAAAAAACCCACCCAATAATCCCACAAGTGAGATGAGCAAGACAGACATCATTCTGTGTAGCTGTTAACTAAATAAGCAGAAGAATATTCACTTGCTCAGTTATCTCAGTATTTCTGCCATGTACATTTCTAAATGTAAATGCCACAGGATGAATAACTTGGAATATTTCAGTCAAGAAAGTTTTACATAAAAAACAGATATTAAGAAGCAGGTTTTGACTATAAGAAGCAGCAAAACAGATTAGAATTGAGGTACCGTCTGTATAGGATATCTTGGCTGATTTAGATTTTTGTTAGGAGTCTAATTTCCTGTGTGTTAGGATAAAAGATGGGAAGCTGAATACTTTGTCACTGTGCAATGATTGTCAGCATGCAAGGAGGCAGAATGAGTGAGATGCATCTCTCATCTCACATTAAATTTGACCTCACTGTGATTTTTATATCAATAGTTCTATTCCCAGAAATCACAGAGAAGAAGTAGGTACCAGTACTATAGAAGATACTTAGGAGTATCTGTAACAGACATCTACAGGAACCTGAACTGAACTGCATAAAAGCCCTAAAACTTAGGTTCTCATACACATATCAAGACAAGTCAGGTTCTTCAGATAGAACAAGTGGTATTTTGGCATCTAAACTGAAGAACCTAATGCCATTTTATCTATCCAAAGGCATACAAAACATGCATAGAGTATTGCTGCGTAAGACTCGAGGCATCTAGGACCCCACACGAACAGACAGAGACCAGGCTGCCTACTACATCCAACATGAAGCCAGGCAGCTGTATTTAGGCACATAATTCTCTTACATAAAATTTACACTGTCAGTGAAATCAACATGTAAATGAATATGCAAAAGAAAGCAGCACAAAGGATTGATATAATTGAAGACTTTAGTCTGCTGAGCATTAAGAGCAATTCTAACCCCAAACCAGATTGATTAGAATTTTGCTGGTGAAAACAAACAGATTAAGTTAGTTCTGCTTCAGAAGATGTAAACCAGAAGATATATGGTGAGCCTAAAACCACAGAATTCCATGTCTTAGTGGATGCTGGCAACATAATGTCCTAGCAACATTTTACCTCATCTGTAATGCCAGCTAGGATAAACAGGAAATTGAAGGCTTTTATAGAAAACTCCACAGGCCTTCCAGGAAGAATTTTCACTTGTTCCTAATGTTGAAGGGAATACCCTCCAAAAATTAAGATTTTCTAGAAACATGGAAAGGGCTGACATAGAAGTGTCTAAATTTGCCTCATTTTAAAAATACTCAGTGATCCCAGATTCTTAAAACTGGCCAATCACAGGATTTATGGGTTACAGAAATTTTGCACAGAGCTAACACTGTTATCCTGTTATATGGAAACACTTACCGTTCTTTAGGCAAGTCAGTGTTTCACACCCCAACAGTGGGGAGAGCATGTGTTCTGAAGATGTCATCATGCCTCTTTAATCTATCCAAAATGTATGTCCAGCTACTGAAAAATGGTATCTCACGGGGACACTTACTCAGCTGACGTCTACTCAGAGAGAGCTTCAACTGCAATTAATCCAGCTTTCCAATATATGAAGTAGTGCTTAAATCATGACCAAATCATAATGCAATTTATTTGTGAGTTAGAACACTCATTTGCAGGTTTTCAGATTCTTTTGCAGACTCATCTGCCTTAAGAATATCGGTGCACTCTGCTAAAAAGTTTCACTGCCCATTGTCTTTAGAGGGTGGATGCTGATTTTGTAGCGGAAACACTGTATGAAGCCCGAATGTTCCATATGCAAATCCCACTCTAGTATTTCAAAGTCTGATTAAGAAACCTGTGCTGTATTGAGTGTTCCTGCACCACTAAGGTGGTGCTCCGCATGGGATCATGGATCTTTTCCATAACACTATTAAAAATAACAGGAATCATTTCCACAGCTTTCCCCTCAACAGAGATGTACAAAAGGATGTGCTAGAATAACTGAGTGCCATTTCATTATTTGTTATTTTAATATCTATGTATCCACTTATTTTAGATTGTGAAAAGTGAAAACCATAGTGATTCTAAGTGAAGTATTTTTTACTTAGATTCACACCACCACTCTGTCAGCTCATAAGGCAAGCTGGCAGCTGCAGCCTATCCCCAGAAGTTTTACTGCACCTGTGTTGAGTCTCAATAACCTGTTGCTAACTGCTTATGCAAGACTATTCCTTGTATTTCAGGATAAAAAGAAAATAAAAAAATCAGATTTTTTTAACTAAAACCTGTTTACAGTAAGAGAAACAAGTTATATTACCTAGTCAGGTCTCCCATGTATTGTTAGACAGTTCTGAAAGTAATTTGAAGGCAGACTGTGTTCCTAGGAGCATCATTATGAACTTTTGTACCTTTTCCTAGGAGTAGGTTAAGCTACACTCAGGTGTTTGACCTTGAAGAACCTGAATCAGGTAAGCCCACACTACGTACCTAACATTAAAGCAGATACTTTATATGGAGCATACAAAATTGCTGTACTATGAACACTTCACAGCTCTGAAGGATCAGGAGTCATCTCTGTGTTGAAACCTACATACCAACTGACCCCCACCCTCCCGAGGTTAAGAACATGCCTTTCTCCTAGTCTTCGACACTTTCGAAATTTGACACAATCGGACAAGGAAGCTCAGGCATGAATCACGTCACCATACTGCCACTCTGTGGGCTAAAGAGCTCATGGGCTGCTGCAGTTCTTTCCTGGCAGGGATAAGCAAAGCGAAAGACCACCTATGCTTACCCATTTATCAGGAATAACTCTGCTCTGCTGTTCAAAAGGAAATTAACAGATCCCAAAGTAACAGCACTCAATGTGCAATAAAAATACAGGATTGCCAACATGCTAAGGTCACTGAGTTCTGCTCCTTAACGTCTCTTCAAAGCATCTGTTCAGTCTAAAAAACAGTGGTAGGGAAAACCCCTGGGGCAGTGGATACCCAAGTCATTCAGTTTTAGTACAATTGATAGGACAAACTAACTTAACCTCAGAATGAAGACACTGGTCCTGTAACTTACAAGGATCATGAGACAAAATTTCAATGTCTTCTGCTTTCACAAAACAACTGTTACTCCACACACAAGCCTAGCTTCAGCTTGCTGCCTGATTCGAAATGCTCGTCTCTGAGGAAGCAAGCTCAACACTGACCACTAATAAACTGACCACTACACCCAACTTCTGTCTGGCAGTTACTAACTGCTTAAAACATCTTGTTGGCTATCTTACTAAGACACTGAAATAGGTTCGGATCTCTTAAGAGACCAACTCAGAAACAACCTGGCAAATTACCTAATTATAAGCAAGAGCATCTAGCTTAACGATTATTCCTTCAAGTGCAAATCGTGGATCCCCTGACAGCACTACAAAGATTAGGCAGTTTCAACTCTTTGTTCCCAAGTGTTGATTTTACAGGGAAAGGTAGGACTCTTAATAGCACACTCAGCTCCAGAAGTTACTATTATATGCCATCAGTCTGTAACAATTGTCCTAAACAGAATAACCTAGAGTAACCGTTTTTGAAAGGTGAAAGTCTTCCACAATGAAATCTGCATTGGAACTTTCTTTTAATCTATTTTCCTCCAGACATTTTAAGCAATAGAGAGTTGGTAGGAATACTGTGCTTTAGGGAATGGATGCCTGAATTTCCAGAGGGATCTAACAAAATCTTCAGACTGCTGCACTGAATCATTCATTTCACCACATGTTCTGCTTTTTCCTCATGAAGCAGCGGTTTGGAGATTTCCTTGCCTTGACTCTGTCCAAGGTGTTAAGATGGCAAAGGAGCTTTTGCTCAAGGGAAACAAATTAGAATACGTCAGGACGCAGCTTAATATGGTTAAGCCCTTTAGTTTTAGCAATTACAACAAATGCAGACTCATTGAAACTTCATAGCAGAGCTACTAAAATGTAGGGCAACTACTCCAAAGTTATGCTTGCAGGAACTGGAAGCCAGTTCTTCCTTACATCTGCTTCCGTTGGGGATGTTGGTTTTAGTTTCAGTATTTTTGAAAGATCTCTCTCTAAAGGTTTGGCATGTTTCCTGATCAACTCAAATTTGGTGGTGTTGAAAGCATCCCACACTTCCAAGCTTCACCCAGTAAACCAAACCAATCAATGTTATCATAAAGGCCAGTGCCAACATCTGAGTAAGCATGCAACTGAGGTACCCTCTTCACCCTTGTACAACAGTAACGTTTTGCAGAACTCAAGTATGAAAGGCTAATGTGGTCTGCTAGCTCCGCTATGAAGACTGTTATGTAATCTCTGAATGGAGTAGACTTCTACTTCATTCTAAAATAACTGGAACAATCTTCAGCTGTCCTACAATGAATTGTATTTATTTATAATAACAAATTCAAATCCACATGGACAAATTAAAAAGATGCTTTAAAGGAGCCTAATTTTAGGAACTGCATCCTAGAGTCTTATACTCACGTTTGCTTTTGATTTCCCAGCTGACTCCAAACTTCAACTACAAAACCATCAAAATTTTCATTCTAAATAAAGGGAATCGACAACAATATACAGTTAATCACTATGCTTATTCATTCTGCTTGTATCAGAGATGATAATACAGTATCAAAGCACACAATTACTGCAGTTTTTCTTGTACTATTACAGATTGAACAGGCTTTGTATTCTTATACTAGCTTCAACTTTAATACAGCATTTCATGAAGAAGTCAAAGAGAAGAATTAATTATTTAACAAACACAGAAAAGTTGAAATATTAGTTATCCAAGACTTCTACTCTTACAAGTTAAACCAGTACAGGATTGGGAAAATTCAGCCATTAATGAAAGATGGTTGTAAAGCAAATCATTTGACACAGATTTACATGTACCTGGGTAAAAAAAACTCATGAGCTCTTGAGCCTAAAGATGTAAATGCTAACTTGGTATATGCATGAGTCCAAACATCTCCCACAGTTGATCTCAGTTGTGATAATTTATGTTTAGCATGATCAAGGATACTATTGCCCATGAGTACCCTTTCCTTAAAAGGTCAAATATTTCTGAGGACCTAAAATTCATGTATCAGCTATTAATTTTAATAAACTATTCAGTTTACCTCTACATCTATCTTTCTCTAGAGCACATTAAGACTTGTTTACATCATGTAGCAAGTGACAAAACTTATTCTGACAGTAATTAAACAGGCTGTTATGAATCAACCACTGAAGATGAAAGTCTCTTGGGTGCAACTTGTTTAGTCCTACACACGCATAGCTCTAAAGCCATTAACTAAGGGGCTGTCCAGAAAATCTTAGAAAACAGTAACCATTCCTTAAAGGTACTTCGCTGTACAGCCTCCCTCCAGCCTCTTAACATTTCAAAGAAACTGGTTTATCAGACCTGAGCAAAACTGTACAGAAACAGATACCCAGTGAGTTATTCTTGGTATTAAAAGTGGCTCATTAGCTCTAGAACACTGAGCCTGTAACACAGAAAACAGTACTCACTGCACCCGTGACCCTTTTTCTGCCTATCAAAAAATGCTACTACTCAGTTTAGCCCCTGACTAATAGATTTATTTGTTTAATAGAAATCTAAAAGAAAGCAGTCTCCTCACTAGGCAACTTCCACGAGATTTTTATCAGGTATCTGCTACTGCCTCAGTATCATTCAGCATGTTGGCAGCTTGGAATAGGTTTTATCAATCACAGTTTATAGCAGGGAAAAGTCACCAGTCCAGCTGCCTATGATAACAAGGTTATGTTGATCAGACTTAGACAGTCTCACTTTAGACTTGTAGTTAACTGCATATAAGTGTTGCTATACTCCATATTTACAGGAATTGTAAACATACTAGGACACACTATTAAGAATTCTGCCTCATTCTTGTTTTGAGCAGAATTTTATTTTGCAAAATATAAAGGTACTGGAAATGAGCAAACACCCACTACAAAATGAATCAAATATCATCTCACACTGTTTTATAAGCATTAGCACAAACTCTTCTTACCTTGGCTAGCAGAACCATGTTCTTGGAAAGTTCCTCTATCTCATCCTCACTGCCAAAAACACTCTCGAAGTCCTGATAAGTCCAGCCATCAAACAAAATTCGAGGTACTATCAAGCAAAGTCATCAATCAGTAGTGAAAATTAAGGTATTAGCTATATTGGAATATTTCTGCAGAAACAGAATACAGCAGATACAGGCAGAGATGCCACTAAACAACATATCTCATGACTAAGACATTGCTCTTCAAACAACTTCAGCAACACAGATAAATTGATGCTGTAGACCATTCTTCTTCATTTTATGTTTAGTTAAAGGTCATTTGACAACGTGTTGTTAAAATGCACGGATACAAGTTCTAAGAAAAGATACTGTCACTTGATTGAACTATCTTAATTGAACTATCACTCAGGGCCGCACGTAGAGTCTTAACACCAACGTGAAACAGCAATCTTTCGGTAAGCTGTGCATTTCTTCTATCACAAGGAGATGGAAAAGTTCACCTCAAATTCTAATCTACTCTTCTGTACACGACTCTGTATTACTTCACTCTTCTACTCATCTCAAAACCCTATGACAAATTTTATTTTGGAAAACATTGGCACTTGAGCTCACATAATTTCTTTTTCTAACAACACAAAACATTATAAACACTACAAAGTACGCCTCCAGAGAAGGCCCTGTGACCCACGCTTATCCGGAAAAGTTAAGGTAAAATATTAGGGCATCAACAGGATCAAAACTTCAGTTACTTACTTCTCTATAGTTAACTGCTTTTATTTTTCTTCTAGGACTTCTTCCTTCATACAATTCTGCTACAGTAATCTCCTTTCTCCCATATGACACCTGGAACAAAGCCTTCTTTTGCTCTACTAGCAGTTAAAGAAGAGAAAACCCAAACAAACATAAAACTGAGGCTCACCTATTTTGATTGCTTTGGAGTTTTTTCTGACATCTTTCATCCAACCTGTCAAACAGTATCAAGTAAAAGAACAACTGTTAAAATATAAATTATGTTGACAATGACAACGTATTTTCAAGCATTCTTCAAAAAATGTAGCGTAGTTTCATTACATCTATCTTCCTGCCAGACTACTAGTTCATAACCAACACAGCCAGTTAAAATATAAATTATGTTGACAATGACAACGTATTTTCAAGCATTCTTCAAAAAATGTAGCGTAGTTTCATTACATCTATCTTCCTGCCAGACTACTAGTTCATAACCAACACAGCCAAAACATCTTCTGACGCACAGAATTCGAAGCTGTTCACCTCCACCACAGCATAACTAGCATTTACTACAAACTTACAATAGTCCCTACCCAACCTCTCCTTGCTGCTTACAGTTCTGCCTCATCATGGAAACTATCTGCCTTACTCAGAACACTTCTGTAATCACCAAGCACTACCCAGGAGGAATTTTTTTTTAAGATGGTATTTTCAAGTACATCCAGTTCTCTTACAAATTTATTCTAGTGTAATGACTGCTTAGTAGACACCACATGATAAGAATTAGAACAGTTTAAAATGAGATTCCACATTCAATCAAGTTCAAAATCATATACTTAGTTATTATTTAAGAACTTACTAGCTGAAATCTGAACTTGCTGCCAGTTTCTTGTCAGTGAAAGGAAAAAAAACACCCCATAACTTCATCAGATTAGATTTATCTTCCATTCCCAAACAAATTCACCCAAAGATTTTTGCAAAAGGGAAAAAAAAAAGGTAACAGGAAACAACTGCACAGTGAAAATACCAAAGACTGTTTCTGCCTGCAAAAATTCTTTGTCCCTTTCTTTTTTTAAGAGGAGTTTTGTAGACAGCCTGGTGGGAGAGACAATCTTCCTACTTAGTCTTTGGACAGATAAACTGTGTACACATGTGGAAGCAGGTGGGGAGAGAAAGAAGTTCACTTTGAAGAAAACTCCCCAAAAAATGGAGCAGATGGAAGTACTTCACTATGAGACAGAGAGAAAAATCCACATGCATATATTGCCAAAGCTACGTAGTCTGCAACAAGACCAGTAATCTTACTTGAAATGAATATTCAAAGAAAAATAAAATAACACCTTTATCAGCATCATGGAGCCCAGTGAACTGGAATCTTTCCTTCCCTCTCCTTTTCACTTGTAACCAGACTGGTGAGATTAGTGTAAATTTGTTTCCAAATATTTTAGCAATGTCATAGCCATGGCCGTTCCACTTGCAAAAGAAAGGAGAAAAAAAAA